TCAGGGATGGGAGATCTGTGTGTGTGTGTGTGTGTGTGTGTGTGTTTATGTGTGTCTGTTTCTCTAATATAATATGTTAAAAACTATAACATACAATAAAAACCACATGAAGAGGAAATTTTATAGAAATAAGAGCAGCAGACATCAAAAACAGAAAGACTTCAAATGAACAGCTTAAAAATACATTTAAGGGCTTAGAAAAGTAAGACCAGGCCAAGCCCCAAATTGGTAGAAGGCAAGGCATAAGGAAGAGTTATAAATAAATAAAATCAAAATTAAAAAGACAATACAGGCTGGCATTGTAACTTAGTAAGCTAAGCATCTGCCTGTAGTGCCTACATTTCTTTGGCTACCAGCTAGTATCCCACTTATTGCACTTCTGATGCAGCTTCCTGTAATAGTCTGGGAAAGCAACCGAGGATGGCCTAGGTCTTTGGGCCCCTGTGCCAGCTTGGGAGATGGGGAAGAATCTCCAGGCTCCCAACGTTGGATGGGCTCAGCTACACCCACTGTGGCCATTTGGGGAGTGAACCAGTGAATGGAAGATCTTTCTGTCTCCTCTTTGTATCTCTGTCTTTCAAATAAAAATAAGTATCAAAAGCGTATTAATAAAATAAAATTTAAAAAGACAACACACACAAAAAATCAAAGAGATGAAAGGTAGCTGTTTGAAAAGCTAAGTGTAAAATAGAAACCATTAGTCAGAACACAGCTCTGGTGGGCACAGCTCCCGTGGACCGCCTCCCAGAGGTTGGATTGAGGCTGGGCGGGCAAGATAGTGGACAACAAGTGGGCACTGTCCAACGGTGTGTGGCCTCCATTTAACATGGTGGCTGTCAAATCCAACACACCTGTGACTGATAGGGCTCAAGGCTTACAAGTCTGTCCCAGACCAACAGGATGCCTTCAGCACCTACCACGGGAACAGCTCTGGGATGACTGACAGGAACCAGTCAAGCAAGCTCTCTAAGGTTTCCCTACAGGCTCTCTGACCAGGTCTGTGAGCCCCAACTCTGAGAGTCTGACAGATTGTAGAGTGCAGATTATACTGGATGGCTTTATCCAGGGCTTCACTGAGTGTGGGTGGGCGTGCCAGGACAGCTGGATCCAGGCATCTGTGAGCAGTTCCTTTCTGTGGTCTGCAGTGTCCTGTAACATCAGCCTTGTAAACAGTGAGAGGACTTGTCCAGCATAGGCGGAAGTGCCAAACTGCTTAAATTAAAAGAAGCAGAATACAGATGTTACATTTTACATAGTTAGTATCTGGAGACCTGGCTATGGATAGCTAAGGAATGGTTTTGCAGTTGTAACATGTTAATTATAATGAAAATGCTGGGCCTGGTGACTGTGACATGAGGTAAATTAATAACATGTCAGGAATTCTGTTGGGATAAATACCTCAAGTACGTGTCTAGATACTTCTAGTCCTGAAGTATAAAAATCATCCAATAACTTTAGAATAATACAGAACCTCCACAGAAAGTTCTTTACGTCCCGTACTATACTTCCTAAATAGGTGTTTATATTAAATCATTGGAATGTGTGACATTAACATAAAATGAATGCTGGGACAACCAAAAACACTTCAGAAATTTAAGAACTGAATAGTAAAAGATCAAAGCAGGCCCACTGTGGTAGCCTAGGGGATAAAGTTTTCATCTTGCATACCCAGGATCCCATACACACCCAGGTTCGTATCCCTGCTGCTCCATTTCCCTCTTAGCTCCCTGCTTGTGGCCTGGAAAGCAGTCGAGGACAGCCCAAAAGCCTTGCGACTCTGCAGCGATGTGGGAGACCTGGAAGAAGAACCTGGGTCCTGGCTTTGGATTGTCTTAGCTCCACCATTAAGGCTACTTGTGCAGATGGAAGACCTTTCTTCTGTTTCACTCTGTAAATCTGACCTTCCAACAAGAATATATAAATCTTTTTTTTTTTAAAAGATTTGTTTTTTTGGAAAGGTGGATATATAGCGAGGAGAGACAGAGAGGAAGATCTTCTGTCCGATGATTCACTCTCCAAGCGGCCACAGCGGCTGGAGCTGAGCCAATCCAAAGCCAGGAGCCTCTTCCGGGCCTCCCATGCGGGTGCAGGGTCCCAAAGCTCTGGGCTGTCCTCAACTGCTTTTCCAGGCCACAGGCAGGGAGCTGGAAGGGAAGCGGAGCTGCTGGGATTAGAACTGGCACTCATATGGGATCCCAGGCGTGCAAGTCGAGGACCTTAACCACTACTCTATCGCGCCGGGCCCAAAAAATATATAAATCTTAAAAAGAAAAAAGGATTGAAGCAGTTATTAAAAGAAAAGTCCAGTGTCTGATAATTTTATAGCCAAATTCTCCGAAATATTTAGGGAAGAATCAATCCAAAAAATTCTCAAACTACTGTAAAAAAACTGAAAAAATGGGATTCTGTAAAACTCTTTTCATGAAGTCGGCATTTCTGACGTAAACCAGACAAAGGTATAAAAAAAAAAGTTCATCCAATTTGGAAGGTAGGGAAAAGCATCATGTTTATGGATGATTTGATTTTTTTTGCATGGAAAGGCATAAAATATCCACCAAAAGCTGTTAGCAGTGAAGTGGTAAGGCACAAAATCAACATACAAAATTTTAGCGTTTTTAAACAAAAATTGTTTAAAAGAGAGCTTGCTAAAAGAGAGGTTGAGAAAACACACCACCATTCATTACAGGTATAAAAATTTATTTAGGAATAAAGAACCAACAAAATGAACGATCTTCAAAGTGAGAATTACAATTACTGATGAAAGAAATTATAGATAATAAAAAAGGAATGATATTTTATGTCAGAAATTGGAAGAATTTATATTCTTAAAGTATCCTTATGACCCCGAATGACCTGCAGATTAATACAATTCTCAGGTTAGCTAGAAACTTGTTTGGCTACCATGGTAGCAATTACACATGCAGGTATTATCATGAATGAGCCCTTCCCTTCCCTCCTTTCCTCTCTCTTTCCCTTTCCTTCTTATTTTCCTTCTTTTTCTTGGGAGAGAGGGCTGGGCCACATAGGCGGCCTGAGCCACATCTCACGGGATGGGGAGCCTGAAGATATCCCCCTGGTTCTGAATGGTTACCTAGCTGGGACAGGGCCTGAGCCAGGCAGGTGCTGCTATGCCTCCTCACGTGCTAGAGACCAGCTACCTGAACCTTCCAGGAGCCCCTGCCCTATGGGAATTGCTCTTGTTTCCACTGATGGCCTTTGTCTTCAACAAGCCGCTTGTGCTTGCACACTCTGTTGGTTTCTGACACCTCCAGTCATTAGTCTCAGGGAGCAGAACCCATGAGTGTGTGGGCTGCCCTCTGTGCACACGCTGCATGTTGGACCTCCTCCTTTGCTGATTCTTGCACAAAGGAGAGGAACAGAGCAGGCACACCTGAAAGACAAGTGTGTCTGCTCCAGAGAACCAGTTGAAGACCTCAAAAGCCTCTTCAAAAGGCAAAAAGGTAAACACAGTCTTTGCTTTCTCCGTATTAAGGCTGCAACCCCAAGCTCTGGGGGAGGCTGGAGGAGGACTCCAACCCCAAGACCACAAGTCACCTCTGTGAGAGCGTGCCCAGAGAGCACGGTCACACACCAGGCCTGGAGTTTGACCCAGAATGGAACATGAAGGAGCATAGTTCCAAGACACTGAGTGTGGCAACCTGTGATGCAGGAATGAAAAGCTAGCAAAGCCCAGGTTCCAGTGTGCACTTGAGACTCCAGGTAAGTGTCACCCCCACTGGAGGGATTCATGAGCTGTCGTGAACACTCATTGCATGAAACAAACCTTCCCCAATGTTTGTTGTACTTTTCCTTTAATGACTGTCACATGATGCAATTAAACTAATAATACAATCTCATTTAGTTCTTTGAAAGTGAGATGGAGCCATTGGAATGGACCATTTAAGTTTATTTATCTATTTATTCACTTGAAAGGAATGGCTAGGGTGGGCACTGTGGCGCATCAGGTTAAGTTGCCTGCACTCCAAGCATCCCAGAACACCTGGCTCAGTTATCTGCAGAAGCTGCAGAAGATGAATGACTCAGGTGCTTGGGTTCATACATGCTGGTGGAGGCCCAGATGTAGCTGTGGGCTCCTGGCTACAGCCCAAGACATGGAGACCATTTAAGAGTAAGCCAGTGGGTGGAAAATCCCTTGGGTAATCTGCTGTTTTTCTAGGTGTATCAGCAGGAAGATGGGTGGAAGCAGAACATTCTGGATTCCAAAGTGGATCCAGGAGTGGCTACACCACAGCAAATGCTGCTGCTTGGCTGCTTACATGAGCAATGGTACTCCTGACTCACACCAACAAAGCAGCTGACCATAGTAGGAATGAATGTAACTGGGTGGTAGGAGAGGGACCCTGATAGAGCCTCAGTTCAGGAAGGGGGGGTGTGTAATGAAGGCGGGGGAACACAGGCAGAGGAGGAAATAATGAGGAAGGAATGGGAGGAGTTGGGGACAGGGGCAGAGCTCAGGATTCTAAAGCAGCAGGTGGCCAGGGCTCTAGCGCTGTGTAGGGATTCCAATATTTTCACAGACCCCAATTGAGATGCCCAGCAGTATGTTAAGTATCTTGTGGGGGTACCTGAAATCTAACGCCCTCCTAATGTGAATCAGGTCGAACAATACCAGTGCAGCAACAAAACACGCACAAATAATCATTGAATTGGCAAATAAAAATGGGCGGGTCCTGGTCTAGGTCTCTCAGGATCCCTTAGTCAGCTCCGGACCTATCCTCAGGGAGGGACATCACACAGGCCTGGGCAGCCTGGCACAGGGTCAGGGCACAGTCCCTGGTATCCGCCTTGGTCCTCAGGGTCTCAGTCCCAGGGCGGGTCTGGGCCAGGGAAGCAAGTGCAGGGGAGTCCCCACCTCCTCCAGGGTCACTTCCCCTCTCACAGCCTGAGTGAGCTCCTTCTGCCCGGACACTCGTGACGCGAGCCGATCGCGCACTCCCATTGGGCGAGCGCTTCCAGCGGAACCAAACTCCGCCCAACTCGGATCTGATTTCCTCAGCGGTCCAGGATGGAGTCCATGGCGCCCCGGACCCTCCTCCTGCTGCTCGCGGGGGCCCTGGCCCTGACCGAGACCCGGGCGGGTGAGTGCGGGTCGGGAGGGAGACGGGCTCTGCGGGGCAGGAGCGAGGGGAGCTGTCTCTCTGGGATCTCACACGCCCTACACCTCCTGTTCTCCCCTCTCACCATATTTAACACCCTCCTTTCTCCTCGCCGCCTCATCTCGCGGTCCCCACACTTCCTTAGTCTCCTCCCCAACCCAGCTCCGCACTCCTCGGTCCCAAGGGTCCCGCTCCGGGCGGGGTCGGCCCTGGTCTCAGCCCCTCTCTCCCCAGGTTTCCACTCCCTGAGATATTTCTACACCGCCGTGTCCCGGCCCGAACTCGGGGAGCCCCGCTTCATTGTCGTGGGCTACGTGGACGACACGCAGTTCGTGCGCTTCGACAGCGACGCCGAGAACCCGAGGATGGAACCGAGGACGTCGTGGATTCGGCAGGAAGAGCAGGAGTACTGGGACTGGGAGACGCGGAACTTGAAGAACTCCGCACAGACTTTCCGCGGGAGCCTGAACACCCTGCTCCACTACTACAACCAGAGCAAGGCCGGTGAGTGACCCGACCCTCCCCACGTGCGCCCAGGGCGCTCCGGGTCCCCTGGCCGAGGTCCCCCACCCCGAGACTGCGCGCCCCGCGGAGACCCTCGGCGGGAGGAGCCGCGGGACACGCCCGGGTTTCGCTTTCGGTTTGAGCTGAAATCCCCGCGGGTCGGTGAGGGCGGGGCGGAGCTGCGTGGCCAGGGCTGACCGCGGGCGGGACAGGCTCTCACACCATCCAGGTGATGTACGGCTGCGAGGTCGGGGCGGACGGGCGCCTCCTCCGCGGGTATGAGCAGCACGCCTATGATGGCAAGGACTACATCGCCCTGAATGAGGACCTGCGCACCTGGACCGCGGCCGACATGGCGGCTCAGAACACCAAGCGCAAGTGGGAGGCTGCGGGTAAAGCTGAGCAACAGAGGGCCTACCTGGAGGGCAGGTGCGTGGAGTCCCTGCGCAGATACCTGGAGATGGGAAAGGACACTCTGCAGAGAGCAGGTGCGCGGGGCTGGGAGGGGCCGCCCTCACCCACCTCCCCCGGGGCTGGGGCAGCAAGGAGGGGAGGAAAATGGAGGAACAGATGCCAGTCTCCTCTCTTCTGCCGGCCACAGCAGGGACATCCTCCTGGGTTTTGGGTCTAGTACCAGAAACCCACTGTTTCTCCGGGAGAAGAGGAACCTGGGGGAATGGGGAAGGCACTGAAAATTTTGGAAAGAAGCCTCTTGGTTTCCTAAGACTCCACCAAGGTTTTGTGGACATCACCCCTTCCAGGCCAGTCCTCAGCCTCAAGCCACTGTACTGGGAGGTTTCATTCCAGCCTTTCCTCCCCTCAGAGACCTGAGCCCTCCTACCCTAGCCAGATGCCTGATTCTAGAACTTTCCAAACACTACATTTGTCGCATTGTCTTTATCCAGGCAGGGTCAGGGTTTTGACCTCCTCCACCACCCCATTTCCCCTGTCCACTCTCAGGAAGGTCACTGAGTGTAACTTTAGTGTCAGGGGAAGAACATGAAAGGCCTGAATTTTCCAAATCTTCCCTCAGACCCACCCACAGCACATGTGACTCACCACCCAGTCTCTGACCAGAAGGCCACCCTGAGGTGCTGGGCCCTCGGCTTCTACCCCAAGGACATCACACTCACCTGGCGCCGAGATGGGGAGGACCTGACCCAGGACACAGAGCTGGTGGAAACCAGATCTGCAGGAGATGGAACCTTCCAGAAGTGGGTAGCTGTGCTGGTGCCTTCTGGAGAGGAGCAGAGATACACATGCCACGTGGAGCATGAGGGGCTGCCTGAGCCCCTCACCCTGAGATGGGGTAAGGAGGGCAGAGTGGACAGAGAGCCTTCAGCAGGGTCAGGGCTAAGCCCTGTGGTCAGAGCCCCTTATTGTCCCTTCCCCTCTCAGAGCCTCCTCAGCCCACTGTGCCCATGTGGGGAGTCATCGCTGGCCTGGCCCTCCTGGCAGCTGTGCTCCTTGGAGCTGTGGTCACTGCTGTGGTGATGATGAAGAGGAAGCGCTCAGGTAGGTTAGGGTGAGGACTGGGTCTGAGTCTCCTGTACCCTGGGGAAAAGGTCTGCTGCCCCATTCCTGGGAAGCACCATGCACACACACCTCCACCCCCAGCTGGGCCCTGGATGCTCACACTGGCTCTGGTGTGAAGCTTGAGTGAAGATGGAGGACGAACACTCATGGGGATGACTTTGCTCACAGAGACCTGAGTTCCAGCAGCCCCAGGTCAGGGGGAGGTTCCATCTGATAACACACCTCCAGGAGAGGCGCCTCCTGATCCTTTCCTGGGTCTGTAGCCACAGTTCTGGAATCTTCTCTGAGATGACCCAGTCCTCTGGGCTTCCTCTAGGCAGGTCCTCAGGCTCTGCCTTCTACCTGCCTCTCATGAGATGTTTTCTCTCCCAGGTGGGAAAGGAGGGATCTACATTAAGACTGCAGGTAAGCACTGGGGTGTTTTTGGGGGGTGGGGAGCCCCAAGGACCTTGCCCATGGAGAAGCTGCCCTGCAGCTCAGCCCTGCCCTCCTCCCTCAGCCACACCCCCGGGGCTCTCACCAAGTCCTGATTGTTTCTCCCAGGTGGGGACAGTTCCCAGAGCTCTGATTCCTCTCTCATAACTTGAAAGGTGAGACCTGGAGGGCCCATAGGGGAGAGGGGCAGGGTGAGGGGACACTGGGGGCTGGGGAATTTCTTGTAACTGGACGTTTTCGAAGTGTGCTGTGCTGTTCCTGTCCTCATGCAATGACCTCAATTTTTCACCTTGTTTTTGTAGTTTGAGACAACCGCCTTGTTACGAGATTTACTGAAGTCTCCATCTTTGTTTTTTTTCAAAAAGCCCTGCCTTCCCTTCCTGCAAAGGCAGCTGACTGTGTTACTGTGGGCACAGTGTAAGGTGGGAGCCTGGCCCTCCCAGCCCAGCACGGGCACCTCTGTCCCTGTCTCAAGTCAGGTGCATTTGCTGCAGCTTCATCCTTCACTGCGCAATTCATTTTTTCAATTCCAATCACGAGGTGTTGGTGAGAAAATTAAAAGAGGAAATTCCAAAAATTGGACAGAGAAAATAAACAGAAGCACCAAGAACCTTCCAGATTCTATGTGTTTGCTGTGTTGAGTATATTGCAGATGGGGACAAGAGAGGCAGGGAAGTCTTGCATGAGGACAGGGCTGTGCCCAGGCAGTGCTGTGTCCATCAGGTTTTCTCTTGGTCACTGCTGACCCGGCTCAGCTGTCGCAGTGTCCTGGTCTCTCTGGTAGGACATGCTCACCAACACCTGCCAACGCGGGACTCAGCCATGGCTAGGCTGCCCTGTCTCATGCACCCAAGGAAATGGAGGCTGCATGGGGCCATGGCTGCCAACTCTAGGGCTTATGTTCATCCCTCAGCTCCATCAGCCTATGTTCATTTTGCTCCTTAGTGTGGTTGGCTGATTGTATCTACTCTTCCTGTGTGTGAGCTCTGGTGGCCTTCACTTCTGTGTGTGCTGGACACAGTGTAGGAGGGAAGCAGGAGGGCAGAGGACACTTATGAGAAAGCACAGGCCGTGGGGACACCAGCAGGAGGAAACCTGCTCTGCAGTGGCCACGAGCGGCCTCTATCTTAGGCTCCACTAATGAACCATGGGGTCTGGAAGGGACAAGTGCTACATGCTCATCACTCAGCTGACTTTGCTGTGGGTCAGACCCAGTGCTGGGCAAGGTAGCCCACAGTGGATATGAGGGCCAGAACAGCTGGCTGTCTCACCATCATGGTCAGCATGCACTGCCCTGAGGAGGTGACCCTGAGGAAGGTTGGAAGGACACAATGAGTCATCTGCAAAGGTGTCTGGGCAGGTTCTGTGCAGGCAGGAGACGGCCAGTGAAAATGTCTTGGGCAGGAGCAAGTCTGCACACAGAGCAAGTAGCCATTAAGAAGGCTGGGTCGGCACCACCATCCAGCAGGACACAAGCTCACAGGAAGGCTCAGCCCTGGCTCTGAGTGAGGTGGGAGTCATGAGACAGCTCCAAGCAGAGGAGGGACATGTGTACCTTCTCCTGTCCAGGGACCACCCTGGCTGCTGCGTGAGGGCGGGCTGAGAGACTGAGAGGCTGGATACATAGATGTAGGGGCTCCTGCTTTGTCCAGGCAGGGATGCCAGTCACTGTAGTGGGTGTGGGCGAGGGCAGAGTGGAGAGATGAGGTTCTGGATCCTTCTGCAGATGGATGCACAGCACTTCCTGTGGACTGCATCCAGGGAAAGATGAGGAGGCGAGGAGGACACCCAGGGCTTCAGGCCGTGCCAGTGTGGGGATGGCATCACAGTGGGAGAAGGGCAACATGGGAGGGTGCATCTGATGAGGGGCTGCCAGGCTATCAGTGCAGGAATGGTGGGAGCCAGGATGTTGGTGAGGAGGGTCATTGCAGGGCTGGCAGTGACTACAGGTCAGGTGATGAGGGGAAATGTGCAGGAGAAACATACTGAGGAGGTGGCTCCATGTGGACCACATTTGCAGTCATGAGCACTAATGGAACACCCAGGGAGTGAGTGAAAATAATAAGAGAGGTCACAAGCTGCAGGGCTAAGTGAGGGAGGGGGCAGAGGATGGGACAAGCCACAGCCCCACTACCTGCAGGGCTAGGGTCACTGTAAGAACCAGGGACCACAGACGTGCTGAGGGGATCCCGTGAGCACTGGGAGGGTAGATACAGTCTGGAGTGGTCAGGGCATCTGCATATAACTCAGGTGGGTGCTGACGGCACCACCTCCAGAGCACACTCTGGCAGCAGAAGGGAGACAGGACTCCCACCTGGACCTCAGCCTCCCCTGAAGGATGGTCATGTGAGCACACCTGGGTCCTGGACATCACACAGTGAGGGGCGGCTCTGGCAGAGACCTGGGTGCAGGCAGCCTAGTTACAGCAGTGTCACTTATGATCCAGGTTTACTAAGTGGGAAACACATACACCTGGTTCTGAGCCACACTTCCCCCCTGACCTCTGACCTTCTCCAGGCTGTTGTGCTGGGCAATGGTGCCAGCAGGGAAGGGAGTCCCAAGTCCAGGCCCCACCCTCACCGGGCACCTTCCTGTTTAGCTGGGATGTCGGGGGGGAGGGGCAGTCACTGCAGTCTCAGCTTGTGATGTTTCAGCTCCCAGTGTTCACATCTGGACAGGGCACAGCCAAGGTCAAAGGTGCCTGTGTTCTCTGAGAGCCCCACGATCAACACAGCTGTCACCCACACTGGGAACCCCTGGGCCTGTGAACAAAGAGCACTACAAGATGAGGGTGGGATAAAAAATTGTTTTTATTTACTTGAAGATTTTCTTTTCATCTTTTTGAAAAGGAGAGTGTTCTCCCATCCCCTGGCTCACTCCACAAATGTCCACACTGCTGCGGGGTGTGGCACACCAGAGCCCAGACCCCAGAACTCAGGTGTCTTGGTGCATCATCTGCTGCCTCCCAGGGCATGCACTGGGTGGACGCTGGGCCAGAAGTGGAGCCAGGACTCCAACAGAGCACTGAGATGGGACCAGGTGTCCCAAGCTGCATCTCCACCTCTGTGCCTGGGTGGTCAGTAATGAGGAGACTGGGTGTTGGAGACATGATGTCCTTTCTCCTGGTGGGGCAGCCCAGGAGGAGGGTCCAGGAAGAGGCCACAGCGGAGCACACATAACCACCCTGGACCCTGCTGCCTCACACGGTGCCCCACATGGATTCTCCCTTCTTGGAGCCCACAATGAAATCTAGTAGTTTCTCATTTGCCCTTCACCGGGCTTTGATTCAATGAAGAGAAAATACAGAGACCCTGGTTGAGGCTGCACAGGCAGGAACAGAATCCATGGCCTCACCCTGGGTGATCCCAGCTGGGAACCACAGCCCTGCCGGGCACAGAGGGCACAGCTCACACCCCTGGCCCTGATGCTGAACCTGGGCCTGCACCAGGACTGCTATCCCTGGGACCCTGATTTATACATTAGAGATGTCGCTGACAGCCTTGGGGTCCTGATGTTGCAGCTCTGAGGTGTGATAGAAATGCTTTTGTTGGGGCACAGCATGGTGGTCCAGTAGCTAAATCCTCACCTTGCATCTGCTGAGGTCCCATAGGGGTTCTGGTTCATGTTCTGGCTGTTCTGCTTTCCATCCAGCTTCCTGCTTGTGTCCTGGGAAAGCAGGAGAGGATGAACCAAAGTCTTGGAACCCTGTACCCATCTGGTAGACCTGGAAGAAGCTCCTGCCTCCTGGCTTTGGATTGTCTCATCACTGGCCATTATAGCCACTTGGGGAGTGAGCCAGCAGATGGAAGATCTTTCTCGCTATATCTACTTCTCTCTGTAAATCTGCCTTCCAATAAAAAATAAATTTTAAAAAATCACAGCATCAATGAAAGCAATGGAAGAAATATTCCAAGATCTAAGATTAGAATTTAATATGATCAAATCATTCATGGTTCCCCAAGCAACTTACAAACTCCATTTGATCCCAATAAATATATGGAGAACTTTATTCACAGTGAAACAAGATCAAACAAAACTCCAGATTAGCAGGAGGTGAGAAATAAAAGTCAGAGCCACATAAATTAAAGTGAAAGCAAGAGAAATGTGAAAGATTAGTCAAAATAAAAGCTGGTTTGACAAAAACAAGATAAAAAATACTTAACCAAACTAACAATAAAAGGTCTTATAAACACTCAGATAAGTAAAATTAGAAATTAAAAAGGAGATATTAACGGCCCAGCTCATTGGCTCACCGGGTAACCCTCTACCTCCAAGCACCTCATCCCATATGGGATATTGTTCATGTTCCAGCTGTTCCACCTCCCATCCAGCTCCCTGCCTGTGACCTGGAAAAGCAGAGGAGGATCACCCAAAGCCTTGGGACCCTGCACCTGAGTGGGAGGTTAAGAGGTGGCTCCTGGCTCATGGCTTTGCATCAGCTCAGCTATGGCCATTTGGAGAATGAACTAGCTAATGAAAGATATTTCTGTCTGGGTTCTCCATGATTTTTTTCTGTAAAATGTGAATTTCCAATAAAAAAAAATCTTACAATACATAAATAAACAACAACAAAAACTCATTTAGGTTTGGTGCCTTAGACTAGCAGCAAAAGTCCTTGCCTTGCACACAATGAGATTCCATATGGGCATGTCCTGGTGGCACTGCTTCCTACCCAGCTACCTGCTTGTGACCTGGGAAAGCAGTAGAGGATGGCTGAAAGCCTTGAGACCCTACACCTCACCCCTCCCGTGGCAGACACGGAAGAGCTCCTGTCTCCTGGCTTTGGATTGGTTTAGTTCCGACCATTGCAGCTGCTTGGGGAGTGAATCATCAGACAGATCTTCCTCTCTGTCTCTCCTCTTCTCCTCATATCTGACTTAACAAAGAAAATAAATAAATCTTAAAAAAAAAAAAACAGAAAAAAGTGGACATTACTGCTAATTCAATAGAAACACAAAAAATTATAACAAACTGCTGTGGGGACACCCATTTGGGCACTGGTTCAAGTCCTGACATCTCCACTTCTAATCCAGCTCCCTACTGATAGCAAGGAAAGTAGCAGAATAAATTACATAATATATAAAATGTATGATAGATATTAAATTAGGGGCCTCCATTGCAGCCCCACACCCCCAGCTATCAGGCAGCCACACCACAACAAAGAATGCTGAAAGACCTGTACTTCCCTGGAGTTATGGCTGAGTTGACGCGTGCTGGCCCTGGCGGGGCTGACCCAGCAGCTGTTCTTTGCTTCACTCCCTTCACACTTGGTCAGAGCTGCACTCATCTCCATGACAATGCTGGTCACAGCATCTGACACCTGCACTCCTCACAGATGGCTGGGACAAAGGACAACAGATGGGCAAGCAGCAGACAGACTGCCCAGGCTGGGAAGGAGTGAACAGAGGGATAAGGCTTTGAGAGCTCCCACCTCACTGAGGAACCTAGGAGCCCACAGGCTCCCCAGGGATAAATGATCACTCCAAACCTGGGGACCTGGGGCTGCAACCACTGGCTGAGCTTGAGGCTCTGTCTGTTACAAGAAACTGATCCTGGCTAGTAGTGCCAAGTCAGCATAAAGAGCACACATCTGGGGATGAAGGAAAGAGAAAGGTTTTC